CAGTGAAATATTCAGTTCTCCTGTTTCAGGAGCTCAGGTGAACAGTGAGATGTTCAGTTCTCCTGCTTCAGGAGCTCAGGGTGAACAGTGAGATGTTCAGTTCTCCTGCTTCAGGAGCTCGGGGTGAACAGTGAGATGTTCAGTTCTCCTGCTTCAGGAGCTCAGGGTGAACAGTGAAATGTTCAGTTCTCCTGCTTCAGGAGCTCAGGGTGAACAGTGAGATGTTCAGTTCTCCTGCTTCAGGAGCTCGGGGTGAACAGTGAGATGTTCAGTTCTCCTGCTTCAGGAGCTCAGGGTGAACAGTGAGATGTTCTGTTCTCCTGCTTCAGGAACTCGGGGTGAACAGTGAGATGTTCAGTTCTCCTGCTTCAAGAACTCGGGGTGAACAGTGAGATGTTCAGTTCTCCTGCTTCAGGAGCTCGGGGTGAAGAGTGAAATGTTCAGTTCTCCTGCTTCAGGAGCTCAGGGTGAACAGTGAGATGTTCAGTTCTCCTGCTTCAGGAGCTCGGGGTGAACAGTGAGATGTTCATTTCTCCTGCTTCAGGAGCTCGGGGTGAACAGTGAGATGTTCATTTCTCCTGCTTCAAGAACTCGGGGTGAACAGTGAGATGTTCATTTCTCCTGCTTCAGGAGCTCGGGGTGAACAGTGAGATGTTCAGTTCTCCTGCTTCAGGAGCTCGGGGTGAAGAGTGAAATGTTCAGTTCTCCTGCTTCAGGAGCTCAGGGTGAACAGTGAGATGTTCAGTTCTCCTGCTTCAGGAGCTCAGGGTGAACAGTGAGATGTTCAGTTCTCCTGCTTCAGGAGCTCAGGGTGAACAGTGAGATGTTCAGTTCTCCTGCTTCAGGAGCTCAGGGTGAACAGTGAGATGTTCAGTTCTCCTGCTTCAGGAGCTCGGGGTGAAGAGTGAAATGTTCAGTTCTCCTGCTTCAGGAGCTCAGGGTGAACAGTGAGATGTTCAGTTCTCCTGCTTCAGGAGCTCAGGGTGAACAGTGAGATGTTCAGTTCTCCTGCTTCAGGAGCTCGGGGTGAAGAGTGAAATGTTCAGTTCTCCTGCTTCAGGAGCTCGGGGTGAACAGTGAGATGTTCAGTTCTCCTGCTTCAGGAGCTCAGGGTGAACAGTGAGATGTTCAGTTCTCCTGCTTCAGGAGCTCGGGGTGAACAGTGAGATGTTAATTTCTCCTGCTTCAGGAGCTCGGGGTGAACAGTGAGATGTTCAGTTCTCCTGCTTCAGGAGCTCGGGTGAACAGTGGGATGTGCAGTTCTCCTGCTTCAGGAGCTCAGGGTGAACAGTGAGATGTTCAGTTCTCCTGCTTCAGGAGCTCGGGTGAACAGTGAGATGTTCAGTTCTCCTGCTTCAGGAGCTCGGGTGAACAGTGAGATGTTCAGTTCTCCTGCTTCAGGAGCTCAGGGTGAACAGTGGGATGTTCAGTTCTCCTGCTTCAGGAGCTCAGGGTGAACAGTGAGATGTTCAGTTCTCCTGCTTCAGGAGCTCGGGGTGAACAGTGAGATGTTCATTTCTCCTGCTTCAGGAACTCGGGGTGAACAGTGAGATGGTCATTTCTCCTCCTTCAGGAGCTCGGGGTGAAGAGTGAAATGTTCAGTTCTCCTGTTTCAGGAGCTTGGGGTGAACAGTGAAATGTTCAGTTCTCCTGCTTCAGGAGCTCAGGGTGAACAGTGAGATGTTCAGTTCTCCGGCTTCAGGAGCTCAGGGTGAACAGTGAGATGTTCAGTTCTCCTGCTTCAGGAGCTCAGGGTGAACAGTGAGATGTTCAGTTCTCCGGCTTCAGGAGCTCAGGGTGAACAGTGAGATGTTCAGTTCTCCTGCTTCAGGAGCTCAGGGTGAACAGTGAGATGTTCAGTTCTCCTGCTTCAGGAGCTCGGGGTGAACAGTGAGATGTTCAGTTCTCCTGCTTCAGGAGCTCGGGGTGAACAGTGAGATGTTCATTTCTCCTGCTTCAGGAACTCGGGGTGAACAGTGAGATGTTCATTTCTCCTCCTTCAGGAGCTCGGGGTGAAGAGTGAAATGTTCAGTTCTCCTGCTTCAGGAGCTTGGGGTGAACAGTGAAATGTTCAGTTCTCCTGCTTCAGGAGCTCAGGGTGAACAGTGAGATGTTCAGTTCTCCGGCTTCAGGAGCTCAGGGTGAACAGTGAAATGTTCAGTTCTCCTGCTTCAGGAGCTCAGGGTGAACAGTGAGATGTTCAGTTCTCCTGCTTAAGGAGCTCGGGGTTTTTTAGTGAGATGTTCCCTGTATTGATCTCTATGGAACCTGTGCTTATCTTGCATGTGGGGAAGTCTGTGAGGGTACAACTCAATGTGAACGTCATGGATGTCTGGACACACGGAGCAATCCATCTCTCTTAATAGACACACACAGCACCAGTCTCCACTGAACAAGAACAAGTGTCACAAATCTCCGATGTAACGGCAGAGTGACGCCGGTGGAGCCGAGGTGAGGATTCATCGTCTGCACACGCTGTTCTCTACAGCAGCACTGTTAGAAACTGTGTATAATGCATATTAATGTGCAATTTGCATATTATTAATGTGTTGTGGGAAGCTGCTTAGAAAGTAATTAATCTACAGACCTTTAGTTAACTACATTAAATTTCTTAAGGGAGCAATTTCATTCTAAATATATAAAACACCATAATATTATTTGCTATTCACGTAGAACTTTCCTGGTACATTAACTAGTCTAAAACATCAAACTTCTGTTGTGCATAAAGAAGATATTTTTTTAATCCGTTCATTTAAATGAATTCACTAGAATGAAGTGTATCTTCCGGCACTACGGCACATATAAGAAAGCGTCTTTGATTATTATCTCAGCTCATTTGACCCTGTATGCAGATTCAATATGACATAAAATACAACAAAATAGCATTCTGCTGTGATGCTTGTTGGACAAAGCAGATCCTTACTGCTTATTAATGTATTAGGTTCATGATATTGTGCCAGATAGATTCATATAATCACAGAATCTGATCATAATACCAGCTTGAAATCATTTGTAATGCATCTTGCCAGCACATGCACATGATGAGTCACTTACAGTGCGATGCAAGAGGTAACATGCTATTAGACTTAGACTACTTCATCGCTCTGAACGCATTGGAATAAAAGATCATTTTCCATTTCTGGAGTAATTGAATTCTTTGAGCATTATCGTGATTGATAATACTTGCTCAGCCTACTTTTAGCTTCTTTATGCTGCTTTAATGGCTTTGTCTTCATTGCACATTTTATGGGCCGCTGGTTTGATGTATGGCCTTCACCTAAAGGTTATTCTTCCAGCGCACACTTCATTAACTCTTCGCTGGATTCCCTCACTCTGAATGCAGAGTCATGCTCGCTTTACTCTGAGACAGACACTGAGCTGCGCACGACTGCTGATGGAGTTTCTCATAAAGCCAAGTCAAGAAAACATGTTTGGAAATTTCATTCTGTGATCAATATGCAAGAGCAAAATAAATCCTATTGTAATGCACGACTGCCTGACATGAAGCGAAGTGCATTCAAATGGTTTAATGCACAGCTAGCCGTGGATTATCCTGGTCATTTGCCCACATTGCTAACTTAAAGCTGTTATTGATGTTTGCAGCGTAATATTTGACTGGAATGGAAAAGTTACGGCTCGCCAGATCTAGCATTCGGTCCGCTTTAAATCAGACACAAAGATAAAGTAGTGCGGTGCATTTATTTCAATGAATGAATTATAGCATTTATTTGAATGAATTATCTAAAGAGAGAGAGAGAGAGAGAGAGAGAGAGAGAGAGAGAGAGAGAGAGAGAGAGAGAGAGAGAGAGAGAGAGAGAGAGAGAGAGAGAGAGAGAGAGAGAGAGAGAGAGAGAGAGAGAGAGAGAGAGAGAGAGAGAGAGAGAGAGAGAGAGAGATGAGTGTGTGAATTACCTGCGTCTGTGCAGCGTCTCTCTACTAAAAGTGAAGATGTGAGTTTAATTACTTTAAAAACAGCAATATGTCTCGTACCCCCGCATTGCTGAGAAATATAATGCAGCATTGCAGTAGCCAAGCTATTTTAATAATAGACCGGTGATTAAACTGACTGAAACTACCTGTGTATTAAAACACACACCTTCCAACCAATAAGAATAAAGTATTCAGAGTATTTGGACGCTTCAGCCACACTTACAAATGGCTGAATGTCCCTGCATGCAAAATATATATGCGAAAAGTCATTAATTGTAAAGAAAGAAGCACAAACAATCAAAACCTCAAGACAGAAAGAAGATGCTAAAAAAAGGTGTAGTATTGAAAATGAAAACAGTCAGTATTTTTTGTGTAAATGTTGATACTGTAGCTGCTCTAATGTTGACATTTCCATGAACTGCTTCGGAACAGCAAGCCAGAACTAAACTAAACGCGGTTGGATACTTTACATGTCAGTCAAATGCTCTTTTCCTGGTTATTAGACAGAATAAGACACAGTGAGGACCAGACTTTGTGTCCAGAGGGAATGTTTGGAAACTGACATCCATTAAAAACACCTTGACATCAGTTGGTTAAAAGTCATTGTAAAAATGGCTTACAAAGTGAAGTTGTGGAGTGTTTGAGTGCCAAAACGTTCCAACCCTGTATGATTTTTTAAACATATACATATATACAGTATATACTGTATATATATATATATATATATATATATATATATATATATATATATATATATATATATATATATATATATATATATATATATATATATATATTTTTTAAAGAATATTTCTACATTTTTTGATGATATGATGGTTTTGTTTAAGAATATCTTCTTTTGTGTTCAACAGAACAAAGAGAGTCATAGAGGTTTGGAACGGCATGGATGAACTTTCCCTTTTAACCAGGACTGGTGATAAAGCCGGTAAATTTGCGATAAATTGCCTTTAACAATAACCAGCGCCTCGGTTACAGTTATTACATCAGCAGATCATTTGGCGTAAAGTACGAGGAATATACGAGACAGGAACATGTGTAATGACACTCACACTCGCTGCCCTCTCCAGGCGGCTGATAGAACGACAGACCCAGAGAGATCATGGCTGCGATCTCGAGGATGATGAGGGTCACGTCTTGCAATGCTTCCCACACTAACTGTAAAAAAGTTTTTGGCTTCTTTGGAGGTATAAGATTTTGCCCGAAGACTTCTTTTCTTTTATCTAGATCTGTGGCGTCTCCAGTCAGACCTGTAAGGAAACACAGAGACAAATGTTACAACTCATAATACGCACAGAAAAAAAAATAATAGTGTAGGATTTACAATTTACGATTTTCATTTCACATTGACATTCCCATTCCCAGTTTTCAGTGTGAATCCATCAACTTTTCAATCAACTTTTATGTATATACTATAGCACAATAAAAGCAACAGTAGTTGGCCATTGTGCTGTACAACAGGATACATATCTAAAAAAGAACGCAAAACCAAATGATAAAGGGAGTTTATCACCAATTTGAAATTTCAACATTAAAATCAAGGACAGTTGTAAGCCTGTGAAAAGAGGAAGGCTTTTAAAGGGATACTCCACTTCTTTTGGAAATAGGCTCATTTTACAACTCCCCCAGAGTTAAACTGTTGAGTTTTACCGTTTTTGAATCCATTCAGCCGATCTCCGGTTCTGGCGGTACCACTTTTAGCATAGCTTAGCATACATCATTGAAGTGGACAAGACCATTAGCATTTCTAAAAAAAAAATGACCAAAGAGTTTCGATATTTTTCCTGTTTGAAACTTGACTCTTCTGTAGTTACATCGTGCACTAAGACCGACGGAAAATGTAAAGTTGCGATTTTCTAGGCTGATATGGCTAGGAACTATACTCTCATTCCTGCGTAATAATCAAAAAACTTTACTGCCGTACCATAAGTGCAGCAGGCGTAATGATATGACACAGCGCTTGAAAATAGTTCCGTTGTGTTGACGGAAGGTGGCCTATTTTCAGGCGCTGTGTCATATCATTATGCCTGCTGCACTCATGGTACGGCAGTAAAGTTTCTTGATTATTACGCAGGAATGAGAGTATAGTTCCTAGCCATATCAGCCTAGAAAATCGCAACTTTACATTTTCCGTCGGTCTTAGCACGATGTAACTACAGAAGAGTCAAGTTTTAAATAGGAAAAATATCGAAACTCTTTGGTCATTTTTTTTTTTGAAATGCTAATGGTCTTGTCCACTTCAATGATGTATGCTAAGCTATGCTAAAAGTGGTACCGCCAGAACCGGAGATCGGCTGAATGGATTCAAAAACGGTAAAACTCAACAGTTTAACTCTGGGGGAGTTGTAAAATGAGCCTATTTCAAAAAAAAAAGTGGAGTATCCCTTTAACTTAGATTTAAGAACAGACCATGTGGATACGAGTCTTGGTCCCAGTACTAGTCCCACTTTCAGTGTGAATGAGATGCATTTCTCTCTATTGATGGTCCATTGATTCTGACTAGGCAAACACACTCGACAAAGCCAGCACAGTCTATCAGTGCAAGATAAAAGCACTGCTTTAGTGAAACAGTGGCAAACGCTTTGGTCACATGTGACCTTTCTCAATGCCCAGTGCAGGAGTCACATGACTACACAGATCACTGGTTAACCAAACTAAGGTATACTAACAATCCAGAAAACATACTTGAACAACATGCATAATGAATGAAATGAGCTCACTACAATCCAATAAACATTTTCTTCAACTGATTCTGACTAAATCACATTTTCATGAGAAACACATTGTACACGTTATACACTCTTTAAAGTGTGAAAAAGCAGACTTACTGTGTAAATATATTTATAATATATCGAACTGTCTCTGCACTGAAACTGACAGTGTCCGATATTTAAAGTACCTTTACATTGGTCTAATTGTAAAGCATGATGTAAACCTGTTTTCTTTTTCAGTTCGTCTAAAGCTAATCCCCATAGAAAAAAGAAAATAAACAATTTTGTTCGCTGAACCTCAGAGTGTTGATGTGCAGAAATATTATGGGTTTTATTCAATTTTACGGTGTGTTTGTTTGTGTTTTATTATTATTATTATTACTACTATTATAGTACATAATGGGGAAAATACATCAGAATAAACACTAAGGTATTTCGAAGTTGTGTTTATTTATAGTAAGTAAACTAAATTAAACATTGACCAACAAAACCTTTATATTTTCATATTATAGCATGTTACTATATTATATGTTTAAGGTGAAGTTATAAAAAGCCATACACTGATAAAAATGATTTTGTGGTGAAGTAAATACTACAGAAAAAACCCAATGTAATTTACATGAGAAAGTTAGTTTAGGCGAGAATAAAAAAAACGAAATTCTATATTAGTACTCAATTCAAGCGTGTAGAAATGAAAGCGTAAAAATACGTTATAAAATTAAGTAAAATTACTCAACTTTTCTGATACTGGTGTTCCCATCATGCACTGGGCCTTGAATAATTAATGAGGTTGATTTTTCACTGTTTTCCAGCTGTATGGTTTCATCACTGCTTTTGTTGTTAAGATTAGTAACTGGCCATTTTGTGACATTTGGAGTTCATTTTCCACTCAAAATGACCCCGATCCATCAAATGTTACGTAAATATGGTGTTTCACACAATATCTATTGTATTAATTACTTAGATGTTTCTAAGTAAAGCATATCCTTTAAACGTGTGGTTTAAATCAATGTTATATTGTTTGAGTGAAATCTATTGCAAAGGAAACTTCAACTAAATAGATATTACTCAACCTTTTACTAGCCAAGTTAAAATTACTTATTTTCTTTGTTACTTTCACTTAACTTAGTTAAAAAGAGTTTACTTAATTCCATATGTGAAATGTACTTAAAAAATATGCGTGCAAAAACTTGCCCATAAAAAATTAAGTAAATTGGACTTATTATTATTTTTCAGTGTATACACTGATGAGCCAAAACATGATGAGGTGGAGAGTATTGTTGATCATCTCCAAACGGCCTCAAATTAAGCTCTGGGTGTATAAGCAAACAATCAGTTCTCATAATCAATCTCGTGATCGACAGGTCGGATGCGGGAGAAACGGCGGGAATAAAGATCTGAAACACTTTGACAAGGAACAACGTGTTCTGGCAAGCCGGCTGGGTCGTAGTGTCTCTGAAACGAGGCTTTTGGGTCGGCTCCCATCAGTTTACCAACAGTGGCTCGAGGAGGCATAAGCTAGAGATCTGCGCGGGAATCCTTTCCCACTCCCACACGTTCCCGGAAAATAATGTTCTCTTCCCACTCCACCCACAACTTCATGTTGTGCTTCACTCCTGCCTGCAAAAGCCCACAGGTAAACGTATACATCGAGTTTTTTCAGTAAGTCTATGAAATTTCCATGAAAATGAATGTGTAGCCTAGCCACAACCTCCCAATATAAACACTCCCGATACATTATTTGTTATTAAAGCATCTACATTCATAAACCACTGTTGATTTTAAAAGAGAGCAAGCATAGGCTTCTGCATGCGTGTTTTGCTATGATAGAAAGCTGTCACTCATTTTAGTTCATCATGATCTCACAAACTTCTGTTATAATCAATGAAGCGGTCGACACTGCACAATGAATCATTTATTTGCATCATGTCAACACTTTGTTTGTTGGGATTTGCCAGTGTAAACACCTCTGATTGGCCATTGCATTCAGGAGATCAACAGATATGTCTCTGATTGGCCATTGCATTCACCAACAGACATGTCTCTGATTGGCCATTGCATTCAGGAGATCAAGAGATATGTCTCTGATTGGCCATTGCATTCAGGAGATCAACAGATATGTCTCTGATTGGCCATCGCATTCACAAGATCAACAGATATGTCTCTTGATTGGCCATTGCATTCAGGAGATCAACAGATATGTCTCTGATTGGCCATTGCATTCACCAACAGACATGTCTCTGATTGGCCATTGCATTCACCAACAGACATGTCTCTGATTGGCCATCGCATTCACAAGATCAACAGATATGTCTCTTGATTGGCCATTGCATTCAGGAGATCAACAGATATGTCTCTGATTGGCCATTGCATTCACCAACAGATATGTCTCTGATTGGCCATTGCATTCACCAACAGACATGTCTCTGATTGGCCATTGCATTCACCAACAGACATGTCTCTGATTGGCCATTGCATTCAGGAGATCAAGAGATATGTCTCTGATTGGCCATTGCATTCAGGAGATCAACAGATATGTCTCTGATTGGCCATCGCATTCACAAGATCAACAGATATGTCTCTTGATTGGCCATTGCATTCAGGAGATCAACAGATATGTCTCTGATTGGCCATTGCATTCACGAAATCAACAGATATGTCTCTGATTGGCCATTGCATTCAGGAGATCAACAGATATGTCTCTGATTGGCCATTGTCTCTGATTGGATACACTGCTCAACCTGGCAAAACCACGTTGTAAATAGAAACCTCTGGCGCTCTGCGCAAACACAGATATACACTCGATCGCTCACCAAATGTGCTTCGCCAATATGCTTTTATTACGGAGAACACTGATCCGAGATCAGCAGTTATGGGCAGCTTACTCGCCACTGCAGGGCTCCAGTTTGAACTAAACCATAACTACAATTCGAGAAAAACTGAGATGGTCCTCACTGCAGAACACGAAATCCAGGGGGAGGAGTTGGATCCAGATCCAACTCCTCCCATCATACATCATACCAGGGTTCTAAATTAACTTCTTTGATCACCAGCCAATGTGGCTGGTAACCATTTAGAATTTCCACTAGCCAAATTTTTTCCGGTGAAAATAAGAGAAATTATGAGTGCCACTGAATGCATTTGATAATTTTATTAACATTGTTGGCATGAAAAACACATATAAAGTACAATACAAGACAGAAAGTGCAAACATTTCATTTCAAGTTTGGGATCTATCTCCATTAGGGATGTGTACGAATATTCGAATTTTCGCTCTGTAATTATTATTAAAAAAATAAAATACTAATACTAATACTTTTTTTCTTCAATTTTTTTTTCGCAGTTATAATTAAATGCACTGGGTGGAGCATTTAACAAGTGGATTGTGTTTTTGATCACATAATGTCGTTGTCTGCCTCGTGAAGTTTGGAATTACTTAGATGAAAATGATAGCCTATTACAAAATGGAATTACGTTTAATCAATTATTAATTATTATTATTATCATAATATCACCACCACAATGAGAAATCACATGAA